TTATCACTTACTAATATCTTTGGAGAATTAAAAATGGTTTATTTTCAAACCATGACAAGAAACTTGATGAAAGTATAAATAAATGGCAAATGTTCTGCCTTTGTCATCTGTGAAAACTTTACAGAACACACTTAGAAAATAAAAGGTAAAATATTTACTGGAAAAGATCCTTATCTTCTTTCCTATATGAGATTATACAATATCAAGCAATAAAGGAGATACATATAGGCAGCAGTACAGTTGTTTCTGGGTAGAAGGCCCTTATAGCATACTCCTTAGAATATCACATTATATAGGTTCAATGTTTTGCATCTGACCAAAATTTTTCTGCTATATTTAACCCTGGATCCAACTATATGTAGAATTATGTTAATAAATATTGGTAAAATGGGTTTGCTAAATGCCATTTGACTCAATTATGTTGTTTATGAACAATATATGCTAGAATGGTTAAGAGCTATAATACCAGATTTTAGTTTCATGTTGATTACCGATTCAATAAAACTTGTTTCTCTCTAGGAATGTTTTGATGGACAATGTAACAAATATTGTAGAAAGCAGAAAGGCAGGGCAAATATTAACACTTCCGTTTTTTAATACGTGAAAATGCAGCTCAAAGAGTGAATTCCTCAAACAAATGACTACCAGTTTAAGGAATCATTGCTGTTAATGTATATATATTCTCATAAAAAATGCAATCAATTTCTGTTTTGACACATACTTCTGAGGACCATAGTATAGATGTGGAAATATGACTTGAGGCAGGAATTTAGTGTTACTTCAGGCTCATATTAGGAGGGTTCAAGAGGAAGAAATTGAAAAGATATCTGAAAACTTGCTTCCAGTTTGGGGTTGAGCTATGGGCTCTTTGTTTCAACATTTAAATTACAGTGGACAAGGCAGCCTAAGAACTTAGACTTCTGGAATAAAAGATTTATTATTGACTGAATAGTAACCTAGAGTTTCAAAGTCTTGTTAGAACTATCCTTGTAAGGAAATTAGATGAAAGTATTGATTAAGCACAGTGAACAAAACAAGAGTTGGGTACTGTATGTACATATTAACTAAAACAACAACGATGCACCAAAACAAGAATACATATCATTTGTGTCATTGAAGAGCCTCTGTAAATCTTTCTTAAATGTGTTTTTTAACACCATAGGCATATAGTTAAATTATGCATAGAAATATTATTTGCAGGTACTCCATGTGGAGACAGAACTTAAACACAATTGGCATAATCCTATAGTAGATGGATGTTTTTGAAGTATCAAGTGACAAAATTGATAATGATGTTAGTAGTGTGATTAAAGGCTAGATTGTATTTGTTCTTGCATTTACTTTTAACTTTTCTAACAAACAAAATATTACAAAACTTGGTTTTACATAAATATGTATGTATATATGTTCATGTATAGTTATGATTATTATTAAGATTTATCACATTGACTTTGGAAGTATATTTAAAAAATTATTTTAGTAAAGTTTTGAGGCACTGATAAGACTATGAAATAAATATCTCTCTACTGAAGTAAGTTACAATTTGGAGATGTAAGAAATTTAAGTAATATCATAAGTAGAATACTGTGTAGTACTGAAATGAATTGTAGAGAACTTAAATGCCGTATGAGTTAAGACAAAGTGACTTTTAGTAAGAGTTGGTGGTTGAGGGAGTCATCAAGGATGAGGGGTGACTTGACTTGGGTTGGGAATGGCAGAGGACAAAAGCATTGCTGGTGGGTAGATGGCTTAAGTAACTATGAAGAAAGCAATAACTATGAAAGACTGTTGGCTGTTATCAAGACATGAGATAATGACCTCAAGTAGGATGGTGGCAATGACGTAAGAAAAAAAGTGCAAACATGATAAATATTTGGAATAAATAATGTTTGATAGGATATATACAATGAAACAAAGGAAAGAGTAAAAATGGTGCCAAGCTTTGGAGCCTGGGTGAATAGGAAGATGGTAATTGTCATAAATAATAAGTTCCAGGCTAAGGAATTAGCTTAAGGGAAAAGATTCAATCTTCAGCAGGTTAATGTTGAGCCAACCAAGAGCAATCAGGCAGTGATTTTTCTGTAGCCAATTAGATCTTAGGTGGGAGATCAATCTAGTTCACAGATATTACATAAGATATTGTGTTGAAGAAATGGAATGTAGACCCAAATTGGAAAGGAAGGTGAGAAATAAGAAATTATTTTTTAATAAGTTTGGCGTAATGTCTGGTAGACATCTATTGCGATTAAAATGCCTGAGAAAGGAGAGAAGCCATATGGAACTTGGCTTAAAGATGGAATTATATGCACCCTGTGTTAGTGTATTTCCACTGGCTTTTTTCTGTAGTATTAAAAATTTTCTATACACTACTAAAAGAAGGTAGAAGGAGAGCAACAATAATAAAAACCTGAAATATTAGCCATTAAACTCTCATTAGTATGTGAAAACCAAGAGCCCAATTATTGAGAACCGTATCTATTCACTAAATTCAGCAATATCCAATCACATAATCCAGGTAAGCAGATTAGAATAAGGCAAGATCAGTGGAGGGACAGCATTAGGACATGTGGAACACAACCATTCTGGAAACAGCTGGATCCCAACACCCTGGTTTTGATTGGCTCATGACATTCCAGATGACAATGAGTGAAAGACATCCACCTTCAAGGTATCCAGGGCAACTCAAGAAGGCAGGGCCCCTTATGACAGAATAGGTCAAATTCCCTCATTCAGCTCTTCCCCATTGTCGCTATAAAGGGGAAACTGAAACTATCAAAGAATATAAGAATGGAAAAAAGGAAAATGCATGTACATACATACATGTCTGCACTGGCACATGTATATGTACAAATTGCTCTTCTTGAATTATCAGAAAATTTCAATGTAGCTAAAAAAGATTTTCCTAATTCCTGAAGGGATTTAGGTTTCAGAGGCTTTTTCTTCTTGTAGAATTTGTAACAAATAATGGTTTTGCAAAATGTATTCACATTCTCAGCCACCTTTTGGCATTGGCCAAAGCCTCAGTCGGGTTGCCCTACAGAAGTGGGTTGATGGTTAAGCTGATAAAGTTTATGCTCCAGGGTACTCACTGGCCAGGGCCCCTTCAAGGACCTGGGGATAAACCACAACAATTTTCATTTGTAATTTTGTGTTGTTTTATTTTGTCCTTCTTCATGTCCACCCTCTAATCCAAATTGTAGAAAATATCACTTAAATTATGGGAAATATTGTGGAAATAATCATAGGAGAAAAAGCAAAAAACCTCTTGTAGCATCTAATAGGACATTACCATTTCACCATTTCTTTTCCTTATTCTACAAATACTAGACAAATTGTGAACATTCATGTGAATTCTAGAACCAAAATGTATACTTGTTAGATGATTTTTAAAATTATGAAGTTTTTAGAAGGAAATTCTTATTTGCAAACTAAAGAACGGACAGCAAAGAAGTTCATTGAGTCAAACTCACAGTACTTGTTGAAATTATGCCTTGTGGCTTTGAAATCCATCAGACAGTGCCCACATCTTTTAATTCATTTTATCGTTATTTTTATTATTAGCCTCATTGCATCATTGGAATAGATGAATCTTTAATTTAAAGACATTATCAGTATAAATCCTTTATACATTTTGTGTATTATTAGTTAAAACTACATGACAAAGAAACAAATGTCACAAAATAGAGTTAATTTATTTGTAAATTCATGGTTTTGCTACAAAAGTAACAGTGTATCAATAATATTTAGAAAGTAGAGAAAAACAACCTGTAATAAATTAAAATATATTTTCTTCGTATCTTTTTTTCCTGATTTTTAGAGCCTATTCTGCTACTTACTCTCTGTATGAACATGTGCAAATCATTTTAATGTCTCCAAGGCTTAGTTTCTTGCTTTGGGCTGCCTTTATTACAAGGCTGTCGTGAAGACCAAATGAGAGGATGTATCTGAAAGTGCTTTGGCAATTGTAGCACAGAATAAATGTCCATAGTAGTCCTGGATGTTGTCTCTAAGTGGTCCCCAATATTCTATTCCACTCAGGTTGGATTACTCCCCTGGGAAATGCACCTTCTCAGATTCAACTAATGTGGCCTAAGACTTCTCCAAATGGGTTTGGCTCCTAAATGAATACTACACAGAACCAAGGGTCATTTTGCTTGGAACAATCCCAAGCTTACTGCGCACAAATGTTTCTGGTAAAACCCATAAACTATACCTTGGATCTAGATTTAGATTCATGGTCCAGAATGAGATGAATGCCACCATAGAGGAAGTAAGAATTCAGAGGTGATTAAAGTGTTCTGTCCTTTTCCTCTATGTAAAAGATGGCATAAATTTACCAAAAGGAAGCTGAGATATCTATTTCCCCTTCCTAAATTAAGACATTTAGACACTGTTCCTGTAAATGCAAATGTAGACTACCCATTGCTATAAAATTCCTCAGTAGCTAGGCACAGATAATTTCTGGAATATCACCTTCATTTTTTTATTGATCCAGTCATAGTCTGCGTTTTATGACCTTTTAGAAGTAATTGTGGTTTTCTCAGAGGTAACAATTTAAAACCTCAAATGAACTTATACTAAGCACATACTTATAAATTTGACATCCTGTCTATGTAACAATTTATTTTTATTCTTATTTTGCCATAAATATATCTTTATTTCTGGGTTTTAAAGTAACCTTTATATGAAATAATAGTTTCAGTTTACATCAATTACAGATTTGGATTGATTAGTTAGTGCCTAGTTGACCACTGAATTTATGAATGCATGCAATACATTCTCATATTCTTAGGAGTATTCTGAGGAATGTTCATTTAATATTTTTAATGCTATTTTCTTTTCATTATTTCAGCAGCAACTAAAAAGGATGAAAAGAAGGAAGGTATGTTTTATGCAAAATCCTACTGTGCCTTTTGTGAGAACAATTTACCAATATTCCCAGCTGGGTTTTGACTGCTATCCTGCCTATATTCCCTTTGGATAACTGGTTCTATTATGTGCATACATTTTATATGAATGTACTTTTTCTACCTCACCTCACACAAAAGGGTGAGCTACTTCTTAAAAGTAATTTTAGTCAAGTCTTTCCCAAGATACAAGGGATAAAACACAGCCTCTCAAAATCCTAGGCCTCCTACTCTGTTGGCAGTTTTATTAAATTTCAAGATGTAAAATACAAACCCCATTCTCATTGGCATTCAAACAAAAGTATTAAAAGCCTTTTGAGTATATGATAAAGTCAAATCACAATTTCACAGCTTTAAGCTTTATATCTGTTTGTCCCCCATTGCTATGCCTGTAGGATTTTTTTGTTCTATTTTTCCTGGCTTATATACCTCATTTCATTTTTTCTTTCTTTTTTAAAAAATTGCCCATAATTAATATGCAATATTGGAATAGTTTGGGCAGAACTCTGCCTATGTAGATTCAAGTGATCCAGCGTCCATGACCAGCTGCAAAACATAAAACAGTCACCTTTATAGGCACCAACACTGAACTTCTGGTGTAAGCTCTAATCCCATTTTTTTCTATGTCCCTGGCATTTAGTCTTCCAGAATTTCCAATTTGACTGAACAAATCTTCATTCATAGCCTCCAGTTCTCCATTGGCAACTTCACATTGCCCTTTGTGACCTCTCATTGAGCTCCTCACTGGGCTCCCCTCCTTCTTATTCTGGGAGGATCACAAGACATCCTGTCAAGACTCAAATTAGCTGCGGTTCAAACCTTTGCCTGCGTGGCCTGGCCTGCATGGACATGTGCAAGGGCTCCCTGGCGGAATTGTTACCCTACATTCCTGCCCACTTTCTTCCTTTATGCATCATATACTTCATCTGTGAAAAGATACTCTCTATTTTGTACATATAATGTTTCATCTTTCTGTTGTTTTTGCTGTTATCCTGACAGAGCTTACCTTTTTCTTTTCATTCTATGAATATTCAATTTTTTTATAGCTCGGGATAAATTCTCCTTTCTCTGAGAAATCTATCTGATCCTAATGAAAAATACTTTCTCTCATCAATAATCTCCCATCTGTATCTCTCTGCTATCACTTATTTCTTGCCACCTTGTACTTCATGTTTCTTTTATTTATTTTTCTGTTACTCTAATTGGCATAAGTCTTTTGTCTAAAGGGACCATGTCCAATTCATTTTTATTCCCTATAGGGACTAACATGTTTCCTTAGCTTGCATATTGCTCAAAAAAATATATACTTTGTGAATGAATCAGTAATATCTAGGACTCTTAAGATAAATATAATAGCCACAAGAAATATGAATAAGTATCCATTTTCTAAAATAAGAGGCAAAGAATGATTAATGATGATGATGATGATGATGATGATGGTTATGAGGTACATTCCACTAAGTTTTTTAGGTTTGGAAAATCATAATCAACTATTGACTATTTCATCATACATGATCACTAGCTGCTACTTGGGTTTGTACTAAGAGATCTAGGTAGATCTCATTTATCTAAACTCAGTTTGATTGGTGAATTCTCAGGGGCTGGAATTGTGGAAATTCCAGGTTATATTCTGAAGAATAGAATTCCACTGAAAATTAGCCAGATGGATTTATTGTTTACTATAACTAGAGCAAGTAGAGTTGAGTACTTGTGAGAATTAGTTCTTGGTTCTAGGGCTTCAGAACTGAGATCTGAAGAGAAATCATGCTGAAAAACAGAGCAAAATGTCTGGTATTGTAATTGAATAAAGATATCAATCAGGCACGTTCCACAGAAAAAGATGGGGTACTCCATTACCAGCAATAGTAGAGTACCAGAGAGTTAATTTTTTTCCTTCGATATAAATTGGCATTTTATTTTCCTCTGGCATCACTTGTGAACATAAAAGGCCATACCTGATATATCGTTAAAGATGAGTGAGTGACAGATTGAACAGATTGCGAACATATCACTGCTTTTAAATCACAGGTGCTGAGGGCCTCGATGTGCTTAATAAAAGACTGTTGTTCAGATTATTGGGCAGATGGTCTTGAGGGAAGTATATTCACCAAGTAAGCCTTCATAATATTTTTAAGCTATTTTAGCAAAGATTGCTGAAAGGGAATGATGAAGTTTAATAGCATGAGTATTACCGTCTAGTACTAATAGCTCCTCAGGGTCAATATATGATTTTTCAATATGAAGCAGTATATTTTTTGGTTTCTCAAATACTTTGCTTGTATAATTCAGTTGCACTGTTGACTCCTAGAGAAAAGACATAACTTTATGATGACGTTTTAAGTAAATTTCACTATAGCTCTCAGTTATTACAGCAAATATATAGAACTTTTTAAAGACCTACTTGGTAAGATCATGGCTCGTTATTTTTTACATTTCTACTTGATGAAATGTTTTATTTTATCTCAATAAGTGCTATCATTTACCTAATGCTGGGCTTCATATTATGTTTTATTCTTTAATTTCATTACAACTGATATCTAATAAAATATATTATTGATTCTTATTAGTGAGAAGAAAGGCAGATTAAAAATAACAGACATTTCATAGATACACATATGGTATTGAACTTTCGATGCCTACCCCATCCCAGCATCAAGTCTGAGAATTGGAAATGATCTTGTTCTAAGCTGCCATGTTTCATCCTCTGTTTGTTCCACCACTTTTCCCAAGCTTTATGTTCAATTTATTCCTTAATGACCATGTGCTCTCCATATCTTCTTGTGTTTTCCATATTTATTGGCTATATTCTGGATTCAAAAGATTGTTCAGTGAAGATCACATGGCTATTTGGGCAGGCAGAAATCCTACTTCAGTATACTAGAGTCAAACTACTTGATAACTCACCATGGGCATTGACCTACCCACTTCATATTTTCAGCTGTTGTGCTATAAGTATCTATGTTTTAAATAGAAGTGACCACTGTGTATTATTAATATATATTTAGGCATATGACAAAGATGCTATTTTTCATGCTCTTATATGAAACTTTTATATAATATTTTTCTATATATTTGAATTGCTTGCTTATCCAATCAGCATAATTACTCAAAAAGAAAATGAATGAGAAAATGCTTGCAAAGCATGTATGTTTTAGATAGCAAATTTAGCCTACTCAGTTACAGTTCCTGATGAGAAACTAAATTGCAAGGAGAAGATTATTTTAGATTGTTTTTCAGGGTGGGGATTAATTAAGAAAAATCTAGTCTAAAATTATTTTTACTGTACCATGCTGGACACAATAGTGTTTAATAAATGTTTACTGAATAAATAAATGTTTTGTTTCAGGAAACTATTATTTTTCAAATCAAGGTTTGTTTGTTTTTTGCCCTCATACATTAAACATATCCCTATTATAGAAAAATTAGAAATTCAGAATGAGGAGGAATGAAACCTTGCCTAATTTCTTAATCTGTACACAACTACCATTAGTCCGTTGGCATATTTTTCTCTAATCTGTCTTCACATATATACTCACATGCACACAAAAAGACATTTTATGATATATTTTTATTTTCATCTTGCTTTATTCAGTTTATGCTATTTAGCTAATATTTTCCAGATTTGACATAATTTAAAAAACATTATTTTAATGACTGTGTATTTTTCTATTGTGTGGATATTCCACAAATTCTTAAACAGTTCCCCTATATCTCAGAAGGTGCTGTTTAGTATTTCCGTTATTTAGAAGTGTAAAGCAGTATCATGAAAAAGCATCTTTCTACATATATTTTTGTGATAATATTGCATTTTCCTCTATGTATTCCTAGAAATAGAATTACTCATCAAAAAGCATGCTCATTTTTATGACTTTCAGGATTTTTTTCTAAGTTGCTTGCCTAAACTGTATTTCCAGCTTACACTTCTATGAAAGTGGGGTGTTGCTTTCACCACACTGTCAGTGCCATTGGTTACCATGTTTTCATGAAACAACTTTGTTGACCATTTAACTGCCTTTTGTGAATAAACAGTGAGTACATTTTTATCTTCAAACACTTAAGGTCTATTACTTCATCATGGAAGTAAAGTCATGATACCTCTACATCACTATAATGCACAAATCCAATGCACTATGACACAAATCCATTAACTTGCAAATTATTAGTGAATATCTACTGTTCTAGGTTCTAAGCCAGAAAATTGTAATCCAGAAAATCATTTATCACTTTTTGCAAGTATTAATTCGTAGTTCATTATTATGGTTCTAATTTCAATAGTAGAGAATTTCAAAATTAAGTTACAAAAGAGGCAAAAGAAAGGACAAAAAAGATAAGAAGTAAAATATTCCAAACAAAATTTTGAGTTAAGTTGCTTCCATCCTAAAATAAATGAGGTCAAAAGCCTCTTGTTTTTATTTCCAAGTGATAAGAACACAGAGTTTCATGGCCTGAATAATGGAAAATAATAAATTTCTTGGATCTAAGCTGAACATTCATCCACTAAAAATAAAATAGATGTTTTTTGGCCGCTAGATACACATTATGACATAGCGGTTACAAATATAATAATGTATTCATCAGTAACCCATGAGCCAACACCAATCTCTTTCTTTTCCATTATAACAGAAGTATCTGAATATCCTCATTGGAAAGGTATTGATTATTCAAAGAGAGTACAATGCCATACGCCTGGACTACCTTAGATTGAACAAATGAAAAAACTTCAAGCTAACTGATCCATAAATTACTGACTTTGACTTTTTATTAAAAGGTCATTAACTTCTATAGGCAGACTGAAATCTCTATACAAATTATAGGTGAATATTTTGTTCCATATTTTATACTTCAAGGACTTTCTCATCTCCTGCCACACTCTAATACTCATTCTCACAAAAGCAGAATAGTTTCTCTTTAAGCCTCATATTTTGTAAATACATCATGTAATCAATTTATTTTGTTGAAAATTATTTCAGTGCTTATGGAAATTTGTTGTGAGCTAATAATTTGTTGATTTATCATATTTATTTTATCAACTTTATTTTTGTGTTTTCAGATTCCAAGAAAACCAAAAAACCTACAGAAGGTACTGAAAATATTTCCTTTTTCTGTCATATCTGATGAACCCTAAAAATAACATTATTTCTTAAGGATTAACATAGAGAAAATATTATAAATGGTACAGAGGAGAGAGAGAAAAATACTGTGATTAATAGAGAGAGTGAGAGAAAGAGTCGAATCTTTTCTGACAATGCTGCTGTGAGAAACACTTGGCAGTAATAAAAAATAAATACTGCATATATTTACCTTTCATTGTAATTATTTTTAAAGAAATATTTACTTGGCAAGAAATTGAACCATGTTTAGTATCAAACATCTACTTTACTAGAAAGCATATATTCAATTAATTTTGGATACACCAACATCAATTAGGAGCTAAATTGTTCCTTTAAGTATTGAATGGAATCATAACTCATTTGGCAAGTATATCTGTGTCCCCGGACTTGTTCCCGTGTGTTTATGTGTACAATGAGTTCATGTGTTCACATGTGTTTAAGAAGACTACCAGGTATAAATAATTTAAAATGGTTAACCAGTATAATCCAAGGCTAATTCATTGTCAAATAATGTTTTTCAATCAAATTATGGAAGCACCTATGATAATTGACAATACTTCAGGGCACCATTCACTGTGAATTTAAGGGGAAGGAGGTTAGAAAAATAATGGTCTAATCAATATGGTGCGTAGTAAATTTTATTTTTAAAGGTTTTAGGAGCAATGACTTTCTGTTTATATTTCTTTCAGCAGAACAACCCAAGGGAAAAAGTAAGGAAATGCATGAAAAGTGTATTTGGGTACATCTTTTTTCTTTTTACTGCTATTATTGGCCTGTTGATATATTAACATTTAGACCTGCAGTTTTCAATCTGCCTTGCCTATGTTTTATGCATGTGAACTCTGCTTGTTGTTTTTGTCAAAATTAAAGAATACACAACCTGGAGAGTAGACTGAAAATCCAGCAATCATCCTTAGAGCCCATTTTCAAACTCATGCAATCATCTAATAACACTATTCACAGGCTCATGATGAAAAATACAACTGCATTCCATTAACTCAAACTGTCATGTTTTTGTAAATTTAATCTTCTTAATCTGGTTAGTTCTCAGTCTTCAGAAAATACTGAACAGAAGTTCTTTGCCAGGCTACTTTTACAACCTCTTTCCTATTATCTTTCTTCTTGTAATTCATACATATTTTGGCATGTTCACATGATGATATATGACATTTTGTCCATACATGATTTTGCCCCCATAGGCACTATGGGCTATGTCTAACAATGTTGCTTGGGATCCATATCTTAAGTCTTACCCACTGTTGCTTTAGCACATTATTAAACCTGTTTGCTGATAATTTAGTAAAACTCAATGTCTTGAGATTGTGTCTTTTGCAAATATAGGTTCTCCTCTGAAGAAAGTAGGAAATATTTAACAAATGAAAACAAAAAAACCAACTTAACTCTATTCAATTAGCCATTAAAAATCAACACATTTCCAGCAGTATAGAAGTTTTAAGATCCTACTATCAAGAACATGTTCTAAAGTGCACACCAATTTTTAAAAACATTTATGTATGCTTTGGCCCTGCAAAAACTTAGGACACTGAGACATTCTATGTCATAAAAATGCTCTAAAATGCTCTGTGGAGAGACTCATGAAATTATACAACTCAGCCAGGGGGAGCAATCCATCGATAGAGAAGTATGTGTTCATACAGTCTTAGATTTATTTGTGTGCATGGTTGCTGGTAAGTATTGGCACAGGATACCAGAAATCTCTCTATAAACAACGGCACCAGCAGGAAAATGGAGGACAACTGGAGATTTGAAAAATTGTATTAAATTTTTATATATGTATAAATAACACCTTAAGGCCCTCACTTTATTGCAGTCTATATGATTTAAAAGCTCCTGCTGACACACTGCAATTCCTTGGCAATCATCCGGGCACTGATGTATTTAATAAATAAACATGCCTTGCCAGGCATTAATTCACAACTCAACTGTTTCCCTTGTCTGTGGTTTGTGATTTAGGCAGTGATAGGGAGAAGAAATAGCTTTCTTCAAAACAATTATTAGTTCTTTTCAAATTAAAGTATTTTCTCTGGTTTATCATCTAGACTTGCCTTTATTATTGTTATTATTGTATCTTTCATTTGTTTGATTTTTTTTGTCTCCAAGATCACTTCACCCAATTACACACTCCAGTCCTATATTTTATTTTGCTTCTACTTTTCCAGTCATCACACTTTAAAAAGCTGTTCTTTCTGCACTTTATTTTTTTTTTGTCTTTTTTTTTTTATTTCAGCATGTTATGGGGGTACAGATGATTAGGTTACGTATGACGCCCTTACCCTCCCTCCCCCCCAAGTCCGAGCTTCAAGTGTGTCCATTCCCCTGGAGGTGCTCATCGCATATGCGACTGGCCCAGGTATTTTGGTATTTTGGTTTCAAATAGTCACCCAGCTCCTCCTTACTGACCCACACATGATGGCCCTTCTTCGCAGCCTGGGAAAAGTCTCCAGTTAGTAGTAGTGCCTTGAAGAAGAATACTTTGGCCCCAAGGTTGTGCATATGCCCGTCCCCTCCTCCCCCCTCCCCCCTCCCCCTGCCCAACATCTAATACATGTTATTCTTATATGTGCACTTAAATGTTGATCAGCTAATACCAGTTTGATGGTGAGTACATGTGGTGCTTGTACTTTAAAAGTATTTCATTTTAGAGAAACAGGATGAGGAGTACATGGGAGCTTCCTGTACATTTTGCAAATTCCTGTGATCTATAACTGCTTCCCAATTAGAAGTAAAAAAAAAAAAAAACAAGACTCAAAACGTCAATCATGGGCATGATTTGGCAGTCCCTGTAGAATTAAAGGGTAAATTAAATTATATTTCTTAAGATAATTCAATAATTACATCCAGAACTATTCCATATAATTAACCTTTTATTATGTTATATATAAAATGAGATCCTTTTCTTGCATATTGTTCCAAATCGGCACAGGTATTTTTCTGTTTATATGATGGCTTTCTCATAAGATTGGGATTGTTTTAACTTTGAGTCTTACATATAGCGGTATTCGATTTTGATGCATACCCAAACCTGCTTCCAGTAGATTTTTTTACTGTCATTACTTTACAAATTTCTTAGAAATGTTTTATAATTGGAGCTTCAGTTCAGCAATGGATTAAACAATGTATTTAATTGCTCTTCATTGACCAGACAACATTTAGTAATGTTCTTACTACTTTTAATTTTAGCCAAGTCACCTAATCTTCTTTTGACCGTCAACATTTGGTTAAGCCATTCATTTTATTTGTTTTACTGACTGCACACTATCTTAGAAGTGGATAAGTTGCACATTATACTCGCATGCCTATTATTACCACCTGATAACAAAATTGTACAATTGAAAGATTGAGGTGATGACCATGGAAGATTCTATTACATTTTGTTTCTAAAAGTGAGTCTGTAGAACTGTTTCAGCATAAATATCTTCTAGTCTTCAAAACCTATTCATTAAATAAAACTTTAAGAAATCTCTCCATTCCTTTCCCTTAAAATATCAGATAATAGTGTTTCTATGTTAAAGCATTTCTTGAAAATCTTCTTTTAAATTAATTTGACAAGCTTGTCAAGGCAAAATAAATAAGAATAGAAATGCAGATGATAGCTCTTCATATAAAATTAGTGCTTGCACTTCATATAAAATCAGTGCTTATTATAATGTAAATGTCAGCTTAATCTTAAGAATAGAATAATGCTTTGTCTCATATAATATTGACAAAAGTGGGTTTTTAAGAAGAAACACTATATAAAGAGGACCCTATAAGGAGCATTCGTCCTAAAAACAAGGCGAGTGTGTTTTGTTTCCCTCTAAAACATCTCAGTCTGTTTTAGTGTCTTAAATCTGCTTCAGTAAAGCCTTTGTCTTAACTAAATAAATATCTCTTCAATATGAGAAGAAGATCCTTAGAAGAGGTAGTACATATGAAATTTGTTCATCTTTATCTTTCTGAGAATTACTTTTAAAACAGCTGCAATAATTATCTTTTGTGCTTATTATTTTATCCCAAATTTTAATTTCATGTTGATATAATATGATAGCAAATTAAATTTTTTTTCTATCCTTTATGGACTATATTTTACTTTTCTGATCCAGGAAAATCTCAGTTCCTCTAATATTTTGAATGTTTTGGTGCTGCTCTATGAGAGAACTCACTCCTGAGGGAAATGGAAGGAAAGAATTATTCTAAATATACAATCTTATACTTTTCATGGCAGTTGTTACTAGTTGCTGCAATTTGGGATCAGCACATGCATTTCTCTTTATGTGAAAACAATTAAGTTGAGATTCATAAAACTGGAACAACAATAATGATAACAATAATAATATATTTCAGAACAGGAAAAGAAAGAAAAACACGTGGAACCAGGTAACTCTTTTTAAATTCTTCTATCCTCTTAATTTCATAATATTATTTAATTTGTAATTGAAAACTGAATTGCAATTGAATGACATGGAATGCTGATTTTTTTTTTCTTTTCTTGTTTGATAACAGCAAAATCACCAAAGAAGGAACACTCAGGTAAGTGAGACTGGTAAGACTCTTTCTACCTGATGTCCAATGATTATAAATGCTGCAGCCTCGGACAGGTAGTAAGGCAATGACAGTGAAGGGCAGATAATCCTTTCACCTCAGTCTTTTTTCAAGTTCATGACATGGCCTTAACATTAATGCAGTTTGAAAAAATGACAGCCAAATATGTTACACCCTTGCCACTCAATGTGTGTTCTGTGAACTAGCAGCATCAGGATCATCTAACAGGTTGTTAGAGATGTAGGATCTCCAGCAGCACCCCACACCTACCGAATCAGAATCTGCCAGTTCACGAGATCCCCAGTGGATTCATCCTTGTAGATTTGGGAAGCACTGTTTCACAGTGTAGTGTATAAACAAAACAAAACAAGAACAAAGCATTTTCTTTAAAATGCATTTTTATTGCTTTGCTTTTAAAATATGGAATATTCAATTCCAGTGAATATTCTCTCCCTATCCATAATGTTACTTAATAACATTTCTTTTTTGCTCTAGGGAGTTGCAGTTAAGAGTAGAGGTAGATTTTGCCCTGAATATATTTATATATTCTAATGAGAAAAAAAAATTAAATTGAGAGTCAAACAACCAAACAAAAACTAAAAGTACAAATGCAGTTGGTATGAATACCAAATAGCTTTCTTAAAGTTTCCTAGTATTTAACCTGCCCAATTAATCATTTCAAATGAAAATTTCTGAAATTTCTATTGACCTCATTTAAAAACATCGCCTGTTGATTTTGCGTGAGTAACTCCTACTCAAAGAGCTTCACTGAGATTTCTTTGTGTATTATGTGTGTGTGTGTACAGGCAGACAGTCTTACATAATGTCCATTAGTCATTCTCAATGTTATGTCAATAAACATGCAAATATAGATAAACCGTGGTCCCACTCTGTCATAAACCATAGTAAACCACAAGTTTGAAGCCACATTTCATTTTCTTTTTTGAAGTTTATAAAACTTCCTGAGACAACCCAAGACTGTTTATATGTCTCTCCAACTAGTTTTCTCACCTTTATAATAGTACTTAATATATTATTATAATCATATTATCTTTTCCTTTTTCTGATTTAAATAGTCAGAAATTAGAAAATAGAGACTATTTTTTACTTCTTTATATCCAGAGTGCCTATTATATTGCCAGCACACAGTGGGCACTGGATAATGATTGATTAGGTGAAAAGAGAAACAGCAAATAAAATAATCAAGTTTTGTAAAATTTGAAAATTGACTTTCAAATAATTTGCAAGATGGAATAATGGCACATTTCACCATTTCACATTAACAGTCAGGCTATTTAGCCTTTGGGAAGGAATATCTGTCTACCTTGCAGATGACAGCATATTTGTTCACGAGTTCATTCCCACAAGTGTGACAAACACATATTCTCACTTATGTACATATGCAGGGAGCTGAAATAGAGCATATATCATAGAAACATGGAGAAACATACAAAGTGACTATGGTGTAACCAGTTTTAAGAGTTTTAATAGCTAAATATTACTATCTACTAGTAAACCTGACAAATACAGTAATTTAAATTACTTGAAATCATTATCTGTTATTTTTAAGGTGTGATTACAGTGCAGCAACTTAGCAGTAATTAGGTTTATTTTTAAAATTAAAATCATTGGATAATTTATCAAGTAAATTCATTCTTTTCATACCATTTCATAGACTTTGA